GAAACATTTCCTGTGCCCACTGCCTGCCCAGGGCTCCTGGAGCTGTGCCAAAGCGCCAGGGCTGCCTTCCCCTGCCCCTCCTCTTGCAGCAGCACCGGAGCTCGTTTGGAGCTGGTTTGCTCCCTGTCCTCGGGGCAACAAGACAGGAGTGACACCCCTGCACACCTGGGAGAACACGAGGAGGAGCCACCCTGCTCTGAACTCCAGCACAAAGCGCTTCCCAGCGGTTTCATCGCCCTGATTAACACAGGAACCGTCACCCCTGCTAATGCAAAGAAGCTCATTAGCACTTCTTCCCAGGGAGAAAACGCTCGTCCTTAATTTTTTTTTTTCTTTTATGTTCTTCTCCTTTCAGGTCCGATTAGTACAAAAATCTTCACTTGCCCAACCCTGCAAAGCTCGGGGTTGTGAGGAGCGGGCTGGGCAGTCGCACRGAGCCCGGGTGTCAGCGGGGACAGGGACACAGAGGGCTCACGTGGCCTTTTGGCTTCCCTGCTTTGGCAAGACCTCCCTCCYGTCACTCAGCTGTCACGACAGGACACAAGCCCCGCTGGCTGCGCAGCTTGAATTTCTGTCGAGGTTTCTGCAGCGTTGCCAAAATTACAGCAAGAGGCAGCTCCTTCCGTGGCACTGAGAAAATCGCGATTCACACCCCTGAGCACCAAACCTGCTCTTTTCCAGCAGYCCCTTCTCCCTGGAAGCCGAGCACATGGAGTCAGGAAAGTGCACACGATGTGCTCAGAGAGCTGCTCTGCCCTCCCCTGTGGGATCTGTGGGGAGAGACCCCCCGAAACAGAGGCACCTGCCAGGGGAAGAACACCTCACACCATGGCTCAGCACGGCTCGTGGAGGGAAACAATTAAACCCCTCATTATCTAGTAATGAAACCCTGAAGGTTTCACACCTGTGACCCAGATGTGGAAAGCAGAGAGGGGTTTGTCCCACACCCAGAGGTTCTCCCCTGGCAGGGAGGCAGCTCAGGAACTCGGATGTTTCTGCTCAGCCAAAGCTGTGCTGGGAGCAGGACCCCTCACCCAGGGCTCTGCCTCGATGGCACCCACAATGTGGGGCTCACCCAGCACTGCACCCTCTGCCAACCCTGGCACCGTCCCAGCTGAACTGGAATCATGCCTGGAATCATCCCTAGGAGCTACAGATGCTCCCCCAGCAACCCAAATTTTCCCCGGAAGGAATGCTGAGGACTCAGTGCCTCCAAGCTCAAAGCCAACAGGTGCCATTTTGACGCCTTTTGTAATACTACAATCATCTTTATTTCCCCAGCATCAGTGGCTTGTTTTCCAAACACATTCAGATCAACATCCTTCTTTGTTTAAGAGATGATGATAAACAAACACGATGTGGGAGGTTCTCCCTCACATAAAACAGTAGGAGGGAACAAACCTCAGGGGCCATTAGAAATTGTAATGCCAGATTAATTTTAAATGGATTTCTATTCATTTACATTCGCTCTGGCCTATGTAATCCATTAACCATAGCTTTGGGTGTATCTAATGGTTTGACATCCTTGAAAAGGAGCAAGGGATCCTGGAGCCCACTGGGACCAGTGAATGGACTGGGAGAGGAGGAGAATGGCTTGGGGGGCATGGGGGCTGCCCCCTACACAGCCCCATCCCATTCAGAGCTCTTGCAGGGACCAGATGGCATCAGGAAGGGGGCAGATTGTCCCCAGAACAAYGTCAGGAGCTGAGCAGCTCYRTCCCCACAGTTTYCTGAGCTGGGATGGGCCCCAGGGARCCMGCAGATCCCGAACAAGGTCGTGCGTGCACAGGAGCGCAGCTGCCACACGCGCTGGCCTTGGGGAGCTCCCTGCAGCCTCYGGTGCCAGCAAAGCTCAAAGACTGGCACAAACCCTGCTAAAACCCCACAAAACCCCAAAATAACCTCTCTGTGCTCGTTCAGCACCTCTCACAGCAGGCCAAGAGAACGCAGCAAACCCCAGTGACACCTTCCCACCGCTGCCATCTTGCACGCAGCCTCGCCTGCTTCAGCCARMAAACCCCCTGCCAGACTCYRGGACTGCAGAGGGGAGGAARGAGCTGTGATACGCCAGTTTYGTGATTAAAAAGACACAAATTAAAACCAGCAGCAGCCTCCAGTGTTGCCACCCCAGAGCGTCATCTGCATGGTGGCACCCACGGAGAGAGGGACAATTACCCAGCAAACAGGATTATCCYAAAGGGAACGGAGATGCACATCAAAAAACTATTTCCATGTTCCCCAAAATTATGAATGCCTTATAAGGATGATAATAATGACTTCTAGGGCATACACATAATCTCCCCCACTGTATAATCTGCCCATTTCAGAGCCATGCAGCTCTAGCAGCTCTATTAGAGAAGTAAATTAACCCTAATTTGATTGCTTCTCAGTAACAGTCATTTCAGCGCGCTAATCAATAAGTCACAGGGTTTTATGGCTGCCCTCGGTATCAATCACTGCAATCAGTAATAAAATGCTTTTCATTTGAAAAACACCTGAAACACTGTGTAATTACCTTTGTATAAAATTACAGCCTCCAATTCACCCATTCCACCTGCTGCAACCCCCAGCCTGGCTGGGCACAGAACATCCTTCCTTCCTTCCTTCTGAGCTGTCCTTCATCCCTTCCCAATGTCACTGCACCAGCGTGTTATTACTCACACCCCAGCCAAGGAGAAGGTTACAAGAGACACTCATCKCCCAGAAATCCTCCAAGAGAAGCGAAGATCTGAGATCCTGCTGGGAAAAGGCGGCTGGGAAGACGCAACACTGGTATGTGGCATCACCACCAGCTCTTCACAGCACCCGCCAGAGCACCCAAATGGAGCCAAATCCATCACATGGAGACGGCACAGCCCTGGAGCAGGGAGAGCAGCACTGCCCAGACATCTTGGGAGGTGACAGGCTCACACTTTGGGGACCCAGATGGTTGGGGGACTCGTGAGGGACAGGGAGCAGCTGATCCTGGGACCAGACAGCCAAGCCAGGCACGCTGCCAGCTGCTGCTTTGGTGGCAAAAGCTGCCTCATGTGCCCTGTGCAGCTGCTGAAAGGCTTTTCGATGCCACCTCTGTAAAGTCCTTGTTCCTGCACTCTGCTGTCACACCCCAGGGATGGCAGCACCGCAGATCCCTTCACCAGAGCCTGCCTGAGCCACASTGTACCCAGGCAGTGCCCCCAGCAYGGGACTGCCAAGGAAAGGTTCCAGGGCTGGCACTCAGATGTTCCTGCCTGGCAAAGGATGCTCTGGGCACACCGGGGCACTGCAGGGCATGACGTGCTCCCCTTTCTTCCCCTCAATCCAGGTATTATTCCCTGCGTGGAGCAGGCTCCCACTGTCCTCACCGGAGTTGTGCAGCTCCAACCGCTGCCCTCACAACTCTCCCAGCACCGGGATACTCAAAAAAACCCTGAACCCTTAGAAACCCCTCAGCACAGCCCCCCAGGCCACAGGGAGTGGGGACTCATAGCGCCACAGCCCCCCATCAGCACCCCAAAGCTGTGCTCAGGAGGTTCCTCCAGGGCATTCTGGTTTAAATCCGTTTTGGTTTTGTTGTTTGCTGTTTCAAGAAAAGAACAACTCTTAAAAACACTGAAACCGCCTTAGGGAAATATTTTGACGGGCAGATCTCAGGTCCCGGTTGTTACAGATTATCCCCGGGATCCGGAGCAGAGGACACACTCCTCTGTCCCTGAGCAAAGCCGTAACAAAGATGTGCTGCTGCTGCCGCCAGATCCTGAGCGCCCCGGCTGACGAGCTCCGAGCCCTCGGAGCAATGTTTAGTGACTCCTCTGCAAAATCCATCACTCACCTGCCAGACCTGGAGAGGGCCCGAGGAGTCCCCCCAGGCACTTACCCTGAAGTCGATTCCCACCGTGGAGATGAAGCTGCCGGCAAGGAAGGCGCCGTCCTTGAAGCGCACCAGCAAGCAGGTCTTGCCGACCCCCGAGTCGCCCACCAGCATCACCTGCCAGGGAGGGAGGGAGGGAGGGAGGGAGGGTGTCAGGCTGCAGGTTTGGGGAAGGAAGCCCCATTGCAGGCATTACCCTATTCCATCACTGGGGTGGGCAGCAGATCCCAGTTGCTTGAGGGGAAAAAGCACATCCAAGAGCAATGGACTCAGATTTACTAAAGGATGGGGAGAAAAGGGAGTACAAGGACCCACAGAGGSATTATTGCCCCCCACCCGGCACCATGTCACCAAACTGCAGACACCTTCCCCTGACAGGCGCTTTACAGGTCCTCCATGGGGGCACAAACACCCCCTGGAAACCAAGAGGTGCCATCTGGGTGACAAAAACTGCCCACAGTCCCCAGCCCACCAAGTGTGGGGCTTTCTGGGAGGTGACACTGCCCCTGGGGAGACTTCAGGGGGTCCCCAGCCCAGCACCAGCTCCGGGGGTGCACTCTGTCCTCGCCTTCAATGRGACCCCCAGACCTCCACAGGAGCCAAGGGAGCAGCTCCCGGTGCCATCTGCCTCAGTTTCCCTGCCCTGGGCAGAGACAGGGCAAGCAGCTCCAGTTGCCACAAAACAGCCACGGCAGAGCTCAGGCTGCTCCCAAAGGCAGCTCCCCAAAACCTCTGTCCGAACCCACAGCCCTCCCGTCCCCGGAGCACTGACCCCGCTCCCGTCGGCACGGTGACAGTCAGAGATCCGGGACCGCGGAGCGGGCTGTGCCAGCTCCTTCCCCACCTGCCGTGGCAGTTCCCTGTCTCCCAAGGCGCTGGGAGCCTGCCGCCAACCATTAGCCCGTGACAGGATTTAAACGGTTTTACGGCAGGGACTGCCCTGGGTCACAGCGAGCCCTCCCAGGAGCCGGCACAAGTGGCAAATGCCACCAACACCCTGCAGCTCAGCCCTGAGAGGCAGCAGCAGCCCCGGCCGCAGGGGCAGCTCGTTGTGGGGCCGGAGGGCACTGCCGAGGAGGGCAGGATCTGCCCACGGTGCCCCACAGCCCAGCTGAGCCCCACCTGGTGTTCCACAGGAGCACCGGTGCCCTGGCACAGCGGGGTGAGGGCAGTCAGTGCCCACAGGAGCATCGGTGTGAAGTCAAGGGAAGGGCRGGGGGAAAGTAATTTTAGTGTCATTAATTTATTTTTTTTTATTTTCCAGGCATCCTTTTGGAATAGGTGCCCCTCAATAGCGGCTTTTCCCCATTAAGCACCGCCAAAGCCTCATCCAGGCATGCAGAGTGCCCAGGGCTAGGATCCAGCTCCATGCCCAGGACTTGGCCACTGCCTCAGGCACAGATTGGGAGAGAGGAAAGGGAAGGAGAAAGTTTAATAAACCAGATTTTTACTGGATACAAAGCAATTTCTGGCTGTCACTGGYTCAAAATCAGCCAGAACATTAGCAGATATTTTGTTTACTCGGTGAATTTGGGCTTATCTGAGACTCGTTTAGCCCATCCTTGTGCCATGGGGACGATGCCCAGGRAAAGCCCCAGCCTGGGCAGGCAGAGCTGAGCTCCAGGAGCTGAGGACCAGCGCAAACACGGAGGTGGCTCCATTTTAGGGAAGCTGTTGAACATTAATGCAGCTGTGTCAGGACCAACCACCTACCAAAGCAACCAAACACATTTCTGGAACGCCCCCCACCTACCCCACATCCCAAAGCTTAACACCACGACGGCTGCACCGACTGCCACGGGCACCAAGCTCTCAAAACCACACACCAAGGTGGCACTTGCCACAAAACAAACCCGTGTCCTCCAGGATCAATCCCCCGGGCTCGAACACAGAGATCTGTATTAGAAACACAGCGGGGGTTCAGCCAAAATCACTAAATGAGCCCCAAAATCATCAAGTGAGCTCCAAGCTGGGCTTGCATCAGGTCGCATGATGAAGCGGGGAGAACGCAAATGTGTTTGCTGTGTGATTCCCTCGCCAGGATCTGAAGCGGCAAGGAGAAGCCATCTGAGCCCGAAAGGCTGGGCACATCTCAGCAACAGCCGGAGCGCATTCGATGCCCCTCGAGAGGTGCCATCGCTCTGCTCACCCTGTTTTTTTTAGGTTAAAGAGGAGCCGGGAGGTTMCAGCAACTCCCCGGAGCAGCCTTTGGCCGTCACTTGCACAAGTCCCGCAGCAGCAGCTCCGCTGCCGGGGGCTCTGCGGGCGCTGCTCCCGCCGGGACCCCGACCGGGAGGCTGCGGAGGGGCGGGATGCCGGGGCTGGGAGGGAGGGAAGCCGGGATGCAGGGATACAGGGATGCAGGGATGCAGGGATGCAGGGATGCCCGCCCGGTCCTGGCCCCGGGGAACTTCGGGGACGCTACACCCGGCCCCGCACCCGCCTAACCCCGCACCCGCACTGACCCCACGCTCCCGCAGCCCTCCCCGCTGCCCTCGCCGGTCCCGCACCTTGAAGGCGAGATCGTAGAACTCGCCGCTGCTGCTCAGCGAGGGCCGGCCGGCCGCCGCGCCGCCGTTGCGGGGCAGCTCGGGGGCGGCGGCGGAGCTCCCCCGGGGGGCGGCGGCGGCGCGGCCGGTGGCCTGAGCGGCGGGGGGCAGCGCGGCGGAGGGAGCGGCACCGCCGCCCTT